CCCCAAAACCCCAAAACCCCAAAACCCCGTTGTGAAAAATAGATTTGAAATTAGGATATATATATTTTTTTATCAAATAATAATATAATAATATTAAACTAAATAAAATGCAGTAAATGAATTCTGGTGGTGGTAGCCTTAAACTAACCATCATTGAAGGTAAACTTTCAAGAGACACTGAAGTATTTTCTAAAATGGACCCATATTGTGTCGTTGAATACAATGGAAACAAGTACAAAACTGTTACTCATTAAAGTGGTGGAAAGCTTCCTAAATGGAATCATGTAAATTAGAACATCTTAAAATTTTCCTTATGAAACTGATATAGGTTATAAACTTCAAGCTTGGTGGCATGTAAGATGAGATCACTCTAAAAGTAATGGATGAAGATTTGACTTCAGATGATTTGGTAGGCACAGCTTTAATCAAAGGATCATCTCTCTGCATTAATAATGGAGTTAGAGAATGGTTTAGTATATAATACAAAGGTAAATCTGCTGGAAGTGTTCTGCTTGAGACTGTATTCACTCCAGATGGAATGTAGTAGTAACCCCAATATAATATGTAAAATATTGGAAATCAATATCAGATGCCACCAGCTGGATTCCAAATGCCAATGATGGATCCTTCCTAAAATATGTAGTAATACAGCATGGCTCCCTAAATGTTCAATTAGCCGATGAGCTAACCTGCTATGGGTCATTAACCACAAATGCAAAGTATGCCTATGATGTAGCCAAACCATTTTCCTCAATCTTACGCTCCTGGCTACTAAATGCCTTAAGGATACAATCATGCCCCAGGAATTTAAATGGGAATGCACTATGCTCCTCCTCCTCCAGTCTATTAAATGCCTCCAGGATATATCCCTTAAACAACAACAACTATCTTAGTGACTGATCCTCATCATCATCACTATGATCATCATAGCCATCATAGCCATCACGGCCATCACGGTGGCCATCATGGAGGACATCATGGTGGACATCACGGAGGACATGGATTTTTCAGTAGTCATGGACACCACGGTCATCACTGAATATATTAAAATATTAATTTGGATTCCTTTAAGTTTTATCAACATTTTTTCAATTAGTTAGATGATGGGGTTTTGGGGTTTTGGGGTTTTGGGG